TCCAATATCACCAACTCTTCATCCCCAAATATCCCATATCTGGCACGAATCATGAGGTTGTTAGTCCGGAACAAGATCTTCACATCCAGTGAAGTTCGACCGGGTCACGGTGGAGACGCACCCTCCACCATCCTCTACGACCTTACTCCCGCCTCGCACTGGCTGTTAAATAACAACAATCAGTTGAGCTTGGCTCCATTTATCTTAATGGAGAACCATCCATGGCTTTTAAGTCCATGGCATCAGTTGAGTGCTTGTGTAAGAGAAGGTGGCATTGCATTTCAAAAATCTCATGGAAAAGAGATATGGGATTTTGCATCACAAAACCCTGAGTTCAACATGATTTTCAATGATGGGATGGAATGTACTGGGAAGATTACAGTGCAAGCAGTTCTTTCAGGGCTTAAAAGTGCTAACTGGGATGGTGTGGAATCACTTGTGGATGTTGGGGGTGGAATTGGCGCAACCATAGCAGAGATTGTCAAGGCTTATCCACATATCAAAGGAATCAACTTTGATTTGCCACATGTTGTTGCTACAGCACCTAAGTATGATGGAGTTTCTCATGTTGGTGGTGACATGTTTGATGCCATCCCTAGTGCTCAAGCCATCTTCATGAAGGTATTATTATTTGCTAAAATCACTGCCAAATCTTGTTGTTTTCTCATTTCAACTTTTATATTTCTTACTTTGGGGTGATACTTGATAGCTCGAAGCACAGAACTTCAAAATACAAGTTCATAGAGTTGATTCCAGTTCAGCTATTCAGACAATTTAGAAAAGCTTTCTTGTAAAATATCTAAACACGGCTTAATATCTTTCCAACTAGTTTCCCATTAACATATATTACATCACAAAAATAAAGGGTTAGAGTGAATAATAAAACAAAATGAAAAAACTAAACAATTAACAATTCAAATGCACAATTATATTTAGTATTCAAGTTTAAAATGTTAGTACTCTTATTGAATAAACAGTACACATACATACATTTACATGGTTATTGCAATTGTGTCAAATTCCGTATGACTGAATTATCAAATTCGCATTGATAGTGTCTATATTGTCTTGAGCAATCGGAATTGCCAGTTGTTGATTCCAATTTTTTTTTCTTTCTAGCTTGATACAGTACCCATGATTTGTTCTACCTCTTGTGAAAAATTTCTAACCAACTGATCAACGAATGTTCCTCTTCTGCATCATTTTCTTCATCAATGCAGTGGATAATGCATGATTGGGATGATGAGGATTGTGTGAAAATATTAAAGAACTGTCGAAGAGCAATACCAGAAAAAACAGGAAAGATCTTCATTGTGGATGTGGTCTTAAAGCCTGAAGGTGATGGGCTATTTGACAGCGTTAGGATGAAACTTGATTTGGTAATGATTGCTCACACCTCTGGAGGTAAGGAGAGGACTGAACCTGAATGGAAAATACTTCTACAGAAAGGAGGCTTCCCCCGTTACAATATTAGCGAAATTCCAGCTTGCTTATCCGTTATAGAGGCTTATCCAGAATGATATTATAACTATGAAAAGTGCATTGTGGATCTTGTACAATGCAATGTTGTTAAACTCAGATCGGATAGCGGTTCGGCTAAACTATTAGGTCAGGGGTCAATCAGCCAGATCGGCTGGACCGTTCTAAAAAATCCGCTGACGTTAGTATGATGTCATAATTATTTTATATTTTTATAAGTTTTAGAAATATTAAAATTAAGTTCTTGGTTATATTCGGCCAATCATACAAAATGTTCCAAAAATATTAGACTTGTAATCAAATATATACCTAATAATTATATATATATGTAAATTCATGACTAAAATATGTCCATTTTCCAAAACTATTTGAAAAACCAAATTAATGCAAATTGGAATCACTAATACTAAATTGATAAGATTATAGGGATGAAACATCTTGATTTAGATATTATTCAGAAAAGTGAGTGATTTTGGTATCTATGCTAAGTGGGTAGCATTTTCATACTAATATTAATAAATGAAAATATTATAATTTAGGTAACTCAAATTATATTTGGAAAAAATAAGAAAGAAAAGTTTGAGAACCGGGTCAACCAGTCGAATCAAGTCAGTGATTTAACCGATTTTTGACTGATTTTTTACCAAAAGAGATTTTATGCTACAAATCAACTCGAGAATAAGACCGGTTCATGGTCGGACCTGTTGAACCAACCAGTCCGGTCTGGGCTAACAACACAAGTACAATGCAGCTTCTGTTGGTGAAAAGAAATAAAGTATCAGTATGTCTCCTTGTTCTGTTCTGAGTTTCATGCAATTTGGATGGTATATTGTCTGAAATCTTGGTCTTGTCTTGTACATACTTCAGTCTCGACATAAATAAGTGCATGATATAGAAAAGTTATAAGATGTGCCATAATGATTTTTTAAAGTACTTTTATATCCAGTAAAATAAACGTAACAGTACAGGAATACATTTTGGATATTTCAGGATCAAACAGATGAGTTGAAGCTGCAATTTAGACATAAGGCATATTTTGAAGGAAGCAACACCTTAACTCCTAGCTTCAAGGATCAAAATGAGGATTTAGGCATTGGTTAAAGTCTCCTTGTACTCACTAAAGAGTCTCTGAAGTCAATGTTGGGGTTAAACTTGGTGGGACAATTGAATCCTGAGTTGGGGTTCACAATTTCATTTATCTCAGCTTTGTTGTCATAGCCTATGCAAGACCATACTTGGTCCAAGAATTCAACAGCACCGCGCAATGAAAGGAGTCCATGCAAAAAACTACTTGCAAGCCACTGGAAAACTTGAAAAATTTTACTTCCTTTACCCGGAAATAGAATCAACTCTATGATAATACAAAATCATAAATAAACCACAAGAAGATTAGACTAGTTACCTTTGTAGCACGTTTATTGAAATCTTTAACCAGATCACTTCGAGGTAATCTTGGAATTTGAAGTTCTCCCAACCTATAACTCTTTAGAGATTGAGGAGAAAAGGATGCAAGAGAGAATTACGGCATTACTGGATGCCCTAAAGCCTATATTTATAATAGGATAATTTCCTATTCTCAATAGGAAATAATTAATTAATTATAACTAAGCCATTTTTTCTTCATATTACTTTTTCCTTTGTCAGTAAAAGGTCTCGAATTTGGAATTTTTTACTTATATTCCTTCTTCCTGTACCACTCAGTCCATCTCTCCTTCCATCATAATACATATTAACATCATAAGTGTGTCACCCCTTGGTTCTAACTAATCTAGTTATCGAAATTAAACTAAAACTCCTCTTATTGAAATAATTCTTTAACAATTGAATTAATTATTTCTCATTTACCATTTGTCACAAGTGACATCCAGCAGTATATCGTGACAACCAGATTTTACAAATTATATGTGAACCTTTTCTAGTTACTACACAATTTTTTTCTTCTGTCACATAATATTACGGTCTAGGTATAGAATAACTATCAAACCCCTAGACTTAATGATATGTGCCTAATCTACAAGATAAATTCTATAAAATTAGAAATTCTTTTCTAATCTCTTGTTCTCATTGGCCAAGAACTTCTAAGCTGTATCTTAGAAGATCACATAAAATATTCTCCCTTTTACCAATGGTGATATATTCCGTATTGATCATTCACATGTCTCCATATATAATTTGATATATCCAATGATAGGTACTTATATTTTCTTGACTAGAACATAAGTACACTGTACTATTAAAGTATGGGAAGCATGTAAAAGACAACTATGATATCTCAAGTTTAAGGATCACATGTGCAAACAGTAATCAAGAACAACCAATTGAGAGATTGGTAATAATTTTCATTTGGTGTTCTTTTTTCGAGTCACATTTAGTAAACTTATAATCCTATAAACACCTACATGTTTATCTAAATGTTTTCATATAATGTTTGAGATTCATCATCCTCTTAATTCAGCAGAGATAATATTTGCCAATCTTACCGAAATATTATTATCCAATTAATAATCTTAAGATTAGAAAGATTTAGAATAAAGTATCAAGAGCACAGATCTCATGCTCTCAACTTGTGAGAACAGATACTCTCAACTTTATTACTATGGACTGATCACATAAATTATCACTTGTATATGTGATAATGATAAATATTACCTATATGTATTTATCAAATATTACCCAGAACACATCATCACATGAATGGTTTTAGGAGTGAATCTATTACAGTGGCGGATTTACACTGGGGGCAATGGGGGCCCGTAATTTCTATAATACCTATAAAAATTTAATGTAATTTCAATTGTGCCCCCTGAAGTTTTATGTATCTATTTGTTTATAGGTCCCCATTGCCCCCCTTAAATTTCTATAATACCTATAAAAATTTGATGTAATTTCAAGTGTACCCCCTGAAATTTTGTGTATCTATTGGTTTATATGCTTTTAAAGTTGTCTTTGATTTTACCTGTTGTTACAGCTACCGTAGAAAAGGTTTTTCAATAATGAATATAGTAAAGAATCGGTTACAAAATAAAATGAAAGACACTTTGATGAATAATTTTTTAGTTACTTATATTGAGAAAAATATATTTCGTGAAGTTCAAAATGAAAAGGTTGTAAACCGTTATCAAAATATGAAAACTTGTTATGAGCAATTGTAAATGGTTTAGTTTGCTTTTGAAATAAAATTATTATTACATTAATAATTTTGAGTTTATTTTTTGATGTTTTTCATAAAATATATGCATCATTTGTACTTATTGGTGAATATTTTTTTCCTTAAAAAACTAAAAAAAGAGTAGGTAAAAAATTTTAGAGCTGCTTTTGCTCCACTGAAAATTTTTTCTAGCTCCGCCACTGATCTATTATGCAGCTCACTAAATATTGGACAGGTAACTAGGCCACTCTTGTGCAAGATTACTCTTGAACATAAATTTATCAGCCTACGCTATTTGTATTGCTTCACAACTGCCAAAGCCAACAACCTTTGTGAACAGTCTACAAAAAATGCCACTTGCTTTCTTGCAAATTTAATGAGAACATCCATCAGTTCATTTTCCTCCCAATAATAAGCCAAGTACAAATTCAAGAATCTTATTACAAACATTTCATGTTCATCATTGTAACTTTGTATCAGGAAAACTCAGACATAGAGAATGTGCGTATGCTAGAAACTTAGATTACTCTCTCTCTCTCTCCAATCTTAAAATGAAGTCTTTTAATCATAAGAAGGTTGGTTACAACACCATCGCGCATGACCAACCATCCGCCTATCGGCTACAAGATAACAAGAAAGTAAAAATGGTGGATGCTCAAACAAGATAGTCAGACCAATTTGCTTGCATCCTACATTAGCCAAAAAGTCAGCCCACTGATTCCCTTCACGGAAGATGTGCGACGTCGTCACTCCCCTGAATTGGTCCAGCAAACACCTGCAATCTCTTAATATACGAGAACACATATGATGAGCAGGAAAATCTTTTAGAATGGTGGAGAGGTGAGGGAGGCTGATGATGAGTGCGTTTCATGTGTGGGGTATGTCTTTCGGCATTTTTGTGTATTTTTTAAATCTATTTTGGGCATTTAAAATATGACATTGTCATATCAATTGACACTAAAATAATGCTCCTTTAACATTTTAAAAAAATTTCTTTTCATATTGTTAGTGAACAATAATATTGTTTCACTTTAAAATGTAACTTTCATAGCAAGGTTTACAATGCTAGTATAAAGTGTTAATACAACTAAGCACATTAATAATTAATAAATAAGATCCGGACTATATCCGCTTGATCCAGACCCAGACCTAGCAAATTTTTTATTATCCATATCTGTATCGAAACCCTCATGAGTTTGAAAAAAAAAATTCAGACTTGGACTGTCATGGGTTTTGGGACCCAAATAGTATCCATGGATATTTTACAAAGTGTAATTAAAAATTAAATTCAGAAATAATTAAAACATATGAAATTAAAAAATACAATCCAATTACCATTTTCAAAAATTAGAATCAATATTTAAGAATATTGCGTATAAAAATTATAAAGTAAAATTATGAAATGTTATCAAATTGCATTTGCTTGAAAAATTTTATCCGTACTCAATGTTGAAACTTGCATGTATTTAAACCTCCTACCCTTTTCCTCATATATATATCAGTTTGGGTAGGGTCTTAGTCTGAATTGGGATTTGAGCATTGATCATATAAAACCAGATTCTATCGGCGTCCATGATTCTGTTACGAGGTATGGATTTGGGTTAGGTTTGGGTAATAATACCTAACCTATTAACATGTCTAAATACAACAAATAATTTGAGAAAGTATCATTTGTGGAAATAGTTCTTATGTGAGTATCATTATTAGATCTAATTGTCTTGAATTAGGCCCGAAAGACAAACTAAGCTATTCAATACTCAATTAAGCTTAGATTGATAAGAGTTCGTTCGAATTTAGTTTATGAACTAATCACGTCAAGCTTGAGCCGCCTTTTATATTTAGTAAAATATTAAGTTCGGCTCGAATTTGGCTTAATTAGTATAAAATTGAAATTTATGGATATAAAAGCTCAAGCTACTTTAACTCAATTCAATAAAAACTTGTTTGAGTTCGTCTTAGAAAATAAACAAGTCAAGTTTGAATACAATTTCAATCTCATTAATTTAATCAAATAAGTTTTAACATTAAGGTGTTTGATTGATCAGATTTATGTACACCCCTACGTTGAATTGGTGCATTGGGTTCTTAAGATAGTCAAGGTCATTTCGGAGTTATTGATTACTTTCTTCCGATGCATGTAAGAAGTTTTTCTAACAGGTTCCTCGACAGCACGCCAAATTGGGCCTCCACGCATTAATTAATGGAATTTGGAGCAATCATTTTTTGTGTTAGCATGTACATGTATATGGTAGGTTATATATATTGATTCGGACCCCCAAGTATTTGTTGCTTAAATCCTTTTTAAAATTTAACGAACTTGCTTTTGGTAAGTTAATCACTAAGAACTAATTTTAAAAAAAATCATAAGATACAGAGTGGTGCACTCTTCTAATCTAAGATGGATCTTCTTCCTTTAACCCCTCGTAAGACCTTGTTGGGGTCCCTCTTCCTATTAAAACAGGATGAAAAAAAATGTTGTAGAAGTTGCCGCATGTAAAAAATCTTTCTATGTATTAAAATCTAATCGGAGAAATTTTTTCTCCTTGAACACATTCATATTTTGACTCTTGGTTTGAAAAAAAAGAAAAAAGAAGAAGAAGAGAGAATCGGATTGTAAGTGAGATATTGTGGGAATAGAAGAAGCAACACTTAAAGATTGAATAGACAATCAATGAACCACAGTAGTAGGCTCTGCCATAGACATACTACCATAAGATAGTTCTTGTAATTGATCACAAATCAAGGGGAGGATTGGATTTGATGGTAAGGTAGAAAGGATTGTAAGTAGGAGATCCTGAATTTAACACCTTCTATTTACAAAAAAAAAAAAAAAAAATCACAAACCAAAAAGGAAAAAAAAGAAAAGTAAAACACCTGGTACTACTTCAGTCAAGGCATGGAACTTATTTATTAGTATTCACTTGACCATGGAATATCTAAAATGGCCATCTCGGAGAAGCCAGACCCTATTTTTCGTTTAGTTTCTTTGTCCTGCAACAATAACATGAAAAACCCAATGAGGCAGCGAATTTGCACACCAACAAAAATGAATTGCACACGCAAATTCGTTGCCTCATAAGTGGACAAGAAATAAGATGCAACATAGAAAGATTTTACTGATTTCAAGGGAAAGTGGATTACAAAACTCTCTGATTTTAACACCAAGTTTAAGGTGAAAAACCTTTCGCGATCTCCCAATCTAGGGCACTTTTTAATTGTTGATATAAGGGTTGTTTTTTAAAAGCACTTTTTAACTATTGATGAAGCCTTTCAATCTCTCTTATAGAAGAGAGCAAAAGCATAAATTCGAGTTGATTGTGATTAACGAGTAAGGATCAAGGGCTAGTCGATCTTAATATCTCTTTCGATAACGAACTTTTGTAACTATTAGTGATCCAGATTAAACAACATCAAGTTGGTTTATCTAGACCATTCCTAACAATTTCTTAATTTTTATTTTTCCAAAATTGACCATCTGGATTTGGGGCACATCAGATGGGCTCGAATTGGGCCATTCATTTTTTTTTCTGGACAATTGGATTGGTATAACATTGTAGCAAAACCAATACCATCTCTTGCCAACAAACTCAATAGCTGGCTTGTCAAGATAAACTTCCCTCTGAATTATGTGTGGTAGAGTGCGTTTAATAAAACTAAAATCTAAAAAGTAAAATTTGAAATATAAGATTTAAAGTCTGAATTCAGTAAGTTAATGAATTATTAAGTACTACATTTGATATATTGAGTGTATATGATATTAAGTGACAAGTGAATAGCTTATCACTTATTTTTGAGAACAAATTTTGCCTAAAAAATTCAGTGTCACTTAATTAATTCATATGTTCAATTTTTATTATCAAACGCGACTTAACATATTAAAATTTGAATCTATTAAATTAAAGTACTTAATCGGGCTATCAAATAGAGCCGTAGTCTAGTTAGAGGATTATTTTGGAAAATTCCAATCAATCATCTCACTACGAATATAATTTATATTGCTAATCAATTGTTAAAAGATTTTCACCCCTTTCGTTGATTTAGTCCAAGAGATAACGGCAATGTTTGGTGGGCCACTTGAATGCTTTGAGGCTTCAGCCAATTTTCTGAATGAATGGGCTTGGATGACGAGGTTTGGGCAGGCCCAAAACTTGCCGGAGTCTAAAAGGAGGACTAGAAGAGGTTAATTTTGTTTTCTTTTTTTTTTTTAAGCTGGATGAAGTCGATAACCTACATTTGTTTTTTTTTTTTTCTTAATAAAAAAAGAATGGGATTTAAGAAGTGGGGTAGGAAGGGAGATTAGTCGATAACAAACGTTACTAGTTTCTCAAAACTAATAAGTTCGTTAATATCACTTTATTGAGAATAATAAAGTTTATTTGGATAATAGTAGAAGGCTTACTGCTAAAGGTTTTTTGCCATGTAAATTTGGATTAAGGTTCATCTACAGAATTTCCTCTCAGAAAATCATTCCTTATCAACAAAATGGTGGATTTGAGTGATGTCTATAAAAAAAAAAAAAATGAATGGTAGTTAATTTTCAAATAAGCACATGTAAACAGTATTAACATGTAATAAACGAACCAAAATGTCAAACTTACTAACCTCTAAAAACACACATTGCAGGTGGAAATAGACTTATTAATCTTCCATTTGCTTTAATATCACCAAGCGCATATCATTGCGAAGATCATTTGCATTGATCAAGGCTCCTTCCTTAATCTGAAATAAAAATTGAAGTTATATTCGACAAAAGTTTTAGCCATTTTTTAGGTGCTCAATCCAATAAAAAGTCAATAAGAGGTTTTTAGTCATTAGAACAAAAGAGATCACAAGAAGATTAAGCCTCGAATGGGTGTGGTTAAAATAAACTATATTACCTTTTTCATTGAAAAAAATAATTTCGTTCCTTAAAATCTGCACTAATAACAAAAAAATATATACAAACATGCAACAGATACGACAAAACGAGGTGCGTACCTTAGCAAGAATATTTATAACCAACTCAGCACGACCAAAACTCATCGTATTGAAACTGATTACTGAGAGCTGCTGCTTTTCAACTTCTGAAATCGTCTCCCAGATGATATTCTTGTGGTTTTTGCATTGAATGGAGATGATCACATCTCTTAGAGAAATATACACAAGAATTTGAGGTAGAGAGGAATCAGAATCGCTGTCTGACTTTGTATCCTCAGATAATACAACTGATGATTGCTCATCTTCTTCGCCAATAGTACTATCCAACCGTCTTTCCAGACTATCCACACGTTCTTCAAGGTGCTTTATGTACTTAGTTGCATTCTCAACAACTAATACCTCATCCAACTGCACAAACAGAGGAATTGAACTTAAAAAGAAAATTAATTTTTCTAATCCCATTTTCTTTCCTTCATTGAAAATGCCAGATTTGAATTGAGGGCTAAAGGATAAAAGGGTTCTCAAGAAAAGCAAAGAAAAAGAAAAACTGTAATCTGGTTGAATAATTAATTGGTGGTACCTCAGCTTTTGAGCCTGGTAGCAGGTTTGACAAAGCTCTGAGCTGCCGATTATACTGTTTCTCTTCCCGCTGGCGTTTCCTATCCTGTAAATAGATGCATCAAAGCATCAGGAAAAGCAAGAAATTATTTGCTGAAAACTTGATTCAGAATTGCAGAGATTGATAAACCACTTGATAACCTTTAGCATTTTGGATGCTCCTTTTGCATATGAAGGATCCATAATGAACAATAGTAGCTCTTTTCCTTTAGAGGTTTGAGATTGATTTGTAACAACCGAACAGGAAAAAACTTTAGCAATTGTAAAATGTACTGAAACTATGACAACTGGGGCGGCCTTGGACCTTTCTTCACCTATTTATTGTCCTTCACGAAAGTTAGAATAATTTTATCCTGGACTGGAGAAACAATTAATGTAGTTCACATGGCTTACTAAAGAATAGCCACGAGATCAATTCAATAGTGGGATGATTAATATATTCTCTTGTCATCTGAATCTGACGCAGTCTAAAATAATTCATCTTTTTGTTTTGAAATTTCTTGCAGAGTTGCGTATTTGGCACAGATTCGCACGTCATTTTCTTTATTTTCTTGGCCAAGGAAAACACAAAGAGAAATGTAAAATGAAATAGTCAAAACACCAAAAAAATAAGTGGAGAATTACTGTTGATCCTCTTAAAAATTAAAAAAAAAAAAAGGAAGAAAAAGCCAAAACAATAGACACCATGGTAGTCTCTATTCATTTGAGGGTCTAAACAAATTTCATGCTTTTTCTTTTTAACAAATTTCATACATTATTAGATAGAAAAAATGTTTCAAGTGGAAGCAAAAGGATGTAAATGCATACAATCATGAAGTGCTTTAATAGTTAGAGATATTTACTCCACAAAATAGTACAAAGTTTATTGAAAAAAACCAACTAAATTAAAACTCGGATATTTCACATAAAATCTAATATTAAAACTTAACATATATTTATTTTGCAATGGTTAAAGCAAATATACATAATGTAAAATGAAAGACCAAACACCATGGTAGTCTCTTCGAAAGGCAACATAACATCTTATTTGATAAAGATTGAAGGATCTTTTCTTTTTTTTTTTCTTATTTTTTGTGAGGAAAATGCAAGAAACATCAAAAATTACTAAACCACTGAACATGATGGTTTTTTTTCCAATTGAGAGTGCCAACTATTTTCAGACATTGTTAGCTACAAAATCGTTCCAAATGGAAGCAAAGGATGTAAATGCATTCAATCATGAAATTTTATGAGTACTAGCTAGAACTATTTACTCCCCAAAATAGCTTCTTTTATAGTAAACATTTGTGTCTAAATCTTAGTCATAAATTATCCAGTAAAACTAAATATATGAACAGATATGTTCCTTGTCACTTTCTTACCTACCATGAACTAAAAAGGCTCCAAATGATGATGGAATGTGGGGACGTGATTGGTACAAGGAATTCCTTAACTTCGTCAAATATGACACATATATTTTTTTTTAAAGTGAACAGAAATCACCCTACTGTATTAGTGAATGAAGGCTGTAATTAATTTAAAATTCAGCTAAAAGAAAAAATAACTTAAAAAATCAGCTTTATATTGGGGTCAATTTTGAGGCGTCAATATATCTGCGTCCAAGCTTAATGAGTTAGAATGTTGCAAGTTAATATGAACGTATGTATTAGCTAAAGGTTGAAATCATGCGCAGAACTCGGCCCCCCCAAATTTTGAAAATTAGTTTTTCTCTCTTAAAAAGTTGAAAGTTTTAAAAAATTTCTATGTAAATTTAAACTTTTACTCCCATAAAAAATTAAAAATATTTCAAGTTGTGTACTTAATTTTTAGTTGAACTAGAATTCATTCCCTCAGAAGAAAATTTTTTGGTTCCGCTTAAAATTAAAATGAGCTAAATGTGTACTTTTACTTTTGGCGATCATGGAGGCCAGAGAGCACTTGCCAAATCTTAATCAGGTGTCTGATAACTACTCATCAAAGGCATTGATTCGTTCTAAACCAGCATCTAAATGCATCATGAGTACATGACCACATTGAGAACTAATTTTTTTTATATATATAAAAAAAAGGTACGGAAAAAGAGGGAGGAACAAAAAGGCTAATCCAAAATATTTAAAGTAATTGGATCCCAAGAACCTGTCAATTAATTGATTGGGTCTCTTTTCTTGACAAAAAAAAACATAAAATTAGAACTAATCGTTTGGAGTTAAGTTTACCAATCAAAGGTGAAAAGCCTTTCACAACTTGTACTTAATAAACCATGTATTTTAGAACTAAAGACTTAAAATTGAATTAGAATCCGATCAAAAACATCAAGTAGATGAATAAAGGAAAAGTAAAGGTCATGGAAACAACCATTTGATTTGAACCTTAAGATCGAACATTTTTTCCCATTGGTTGACTTAATAGAAAAAAATACTTTTCAAGAAAAAATTACTTAGAAAACGATAGATATAACATGAGAAGCAGACTATATAAATATTTACCTTGTCTTGGCACACAAAAAGCAGTCATGGTTTTCAAACAGAAGCTGGACCTTGGACCAACACTAAACTAACAAAAGAAGCAACTGGGGTGGCCCTGATCCACATCTTCTCTTTATTGTACCTTTTTTTTTTTTTTTTTTTGCTTCCCTGGGGGGTAATCTACGACAGGTTCTCCTGTTTGTAAATCCTCTCTCGTTATCATCCAAGCCAACCATCTTCCATTGTACTTTCCTATATCTTACAAAAACATATCCCATTGCTTACCTACTAGAAAATCTCTCAAATAAAATGTATAGAAATCACTAATGTAGTTCACGTACATGCATAAAATATAGCCACGAGGACGGTCAAATATTTGGAAAATTAATAGTCTCACGTTCTGCACTTTCCATCAAATACTTAACAAACCTTAAATTTTTTTAAGTATCTTTACCAAATCTTCAAAAGATCTCTTTACTTTTCGTGAAAGTGGAAGTATCCATTTAAACCAAAAGATTCTCAAATTTTGTGGGTGCTAACATCGACAGAGTTGACCAGAAACACTTTTGAAAACACAAAAGAAACTTAAAAAAAGATGCCCAACCACCGACAAAGTGTTTGCAGTGGAAGAAAGTGATATAAATGCACGCCATCAAGAAATAATTGAATAATGGGAATTATTACTCAAAATAACTTCATGTATCATTTAATTAAGTTTAGCCACTAGTTAAATAAGTTTGGCCACTAACTAGTCAAAGAAATTTAGAATAGGAAATGGATGAGAATTTGTTGTCCTACCAACCAAGGTGTTGTGGAGGCTCTAACCTCTAAGCGATAATGTGGAATAATAGAGATGCGGTTGATAGGCGGAATTGGTAGCGACAAATTGGGCTGATGGGTGGCAGACGGGATCCTCTGTCCAATTTTTTGTGTCTAATTTTCTGTCCAACACAAAACTACGTAGTTCCATTTATTCTTGTGGCTGACGTGGCACATAAAAATAAATGTCTGTTTGGCTCCATTATACTTTTAAATCTCTCTTCTTTTTTGGATTTCCTTTATTTACATATCTTTATTACAATTCCCAAAACCCTATTACTACCATAACAATTCCCAAGACCTGTTGCCGTGAGCGTCAAGAAGATTTGGGACTTCTTTGCCGATGGTAAGAAAAATAATATTCTTTGCCGATGGTGTCAAATTCCATGTCAAGGTGGCAACAATGTTCAGGATCTTTAAAGAGATAACTTTTTCATTTCAAGTTGGAACTTCAAGAACCATTATTCTAGTTATCTATTTTTGATAGTTATGGGAAAAGGTTACAAGAATTTACTTTATTCTATACGGGTGGTGCAAAACGCAAAAGCATAGCAGATCACAAATGTTTAATAATATTTCTGGCTTGACACTAATTTGATTTCCACTTTCTTCATCTGATCTCCCAGATTTACTGACAGCTTGAGCAATGCTATCAGGTGGGCATGAGGATGTTATGACATCAATCAAATGACCCAAGTGCTTCTCATAGAAGATGTCGATGATAGACTCTCTCTGCAACATCATAAAAAATGCTCAAACAGGATAAACAATTCAAAGACAACGCAATCAAATCACAGCACCTTCTACTTCCCCCGGTTTAGCAGTGATCACAAAAATCACTGTATGTGAAAAGGAAATATATAATTCCATAAAACCAAAAATAAAAAAACTGGCTAAGCATATAATCTTCTAGGCATTGACATCTGAAACAACAATCATTGTGAACCAAATTGCAGCACATATATTTGTTTACCACCGCAATCCGTATGCCTTATAAAATGTGTGTATGTGGGTGGGGTGGTGTTTTTTTTCTCTGGGAAAGGGGGGGTGGTAAGAAAAGAAAACAGCTATTACATCTTAAAATAGCAGAGGTCTCCATGATGTTTAAAGGTTTTCAATTTTTATCCATCACATGGTTTTTCATTCAATTAGCAACTTTGTCAACCAAGCCAATGAAATATGTCAGTTTTTAACCATATTTCCCCAAGAGATGGATTATAAATTAAATGAACACTGTATCAATGAAGACATAATTCTACTTAAAAAACAAAAAGAGGAATCAATTTACCAGAATAAAAAATAGATTGCAAAGGCACAAGAAACACTTTTTCTATCTGAAAATGTTAAAACACAATTTGTTTTCCTTCAAAGAAAACGAGAAGGACAATTTGTTTTCCTTCACCAATTTTTTAGATTATTCTTTCCGTTAGGCCCAGCTGCAAATTTTGCTTTGTACTTCCAAGGATTTGATTGTCTCTCTGTATGTCTCAAATTTTGCTATGTCTTTCCGTTAGGCTAGTGGTTTGCTTTGGAGGAATTCACGGTGAATGGTTACAATTTGACAGGGCTGTTGCTTGGTGCTTGAGCCAAACAGGCATTTATTTTTATGTGCCACGTCAGTCACAAGAATAAGTGGAATTACGTAGTTTTGTGTTGGACAGGAAATTGGACACAAAAAACTGGACAGAGGATCCCGTTTGGATGGGTGGGAGCCGCTTAGGCTTAATATAAAGGCTGCACATGTCGGCTTATATCCGAGAAATATGGGATAAGCCTAAATTGATCTACTTTTGGGCAGAGGTATAAACAAGTTTAAACAAATAAAACACCCTAGTGTTTAAACTTATTTGATTATATTAATGAATTTGAAATTTTATTCAAATTTGACTTATTTTTTTTAGCTTGAACATGTTTTTATTGAGTCGAATTTGAGTAGTTTGAATCTTTTACATATAAATTTCACTTATATGCTAATCAAATCGAACTGGAGTTGAACTTGAAAGTTTATCAAATACAAATTGCTATTAAAATTTAATTTGATTAGCTAGCGAACTAAATTTGGACAAGCTCTTGCCGATCTGAACTCGATCTTTAATATCAAATAATTTGATTCGTCTTTTTGAAAGTTTATCGAATACAAATTGCTATTTAAATTTAATTTGATTAGCGAGCGAACCAAATTCAAGCGAACTCTTTCCGATTTGAACTTAATTTTTTGTATCGAATAATTTGGTTTATCTTTCAATTTTACTTTTGATTTGTATACATCCATCATAAGTCCAATAAGGCTTCATTTATTTTTTATGTCCTTTCCTTTTTCTTGATAATGGACTTTTATCTTTCTCTCATTATTTTTTTTTCATTGTTTTTCATTATTCTATGGGTCATGGAAGTTGTAGAAACTTTTAGGGTTCATTTGGTTCACAGATTGGATAAGATAGAATGACTCATCTTCGGATTATTAATTCTGGGTTGAGTCATTCTCGGATTAATAGTCCAAGTTATCTAGTATTTGGTTCGTTCTAGATTGGATAAGATATGTTGGAAATAATCCTATCCTGCGTTGGTTTGAGATTGGATGAGGTAGGATTACTATTTCAATGACTAAAATATCCCTTAATTTGCATATTTTTTATCAAAATAATTTAATATTTTGTAAAATATTAATAAAAAATTAATATTTATAACTTTTATTAAAATAAAGTAGTTTGAAACTTTAGAATTATAAAGTAAATCAAGGGTTTGATATATAAAGATTTGCATTCACTCAAACTCAGTCCATTCGAACCCTTCAAAATAGATTTTGACCAAGTTTTTGAACTTTTTTTTTAATTGAAATCATATTATTATTCAAGCTGCCGAAGAATACAATGTAGGGAGGAAGGTCGCATCCTTACCTCCAAAACGAGAAATGAAAATTACAAAAGTTCTGCATATCCAGGGCCAGTAACTCTCTTGTGTGACACGATAATTGAGAAGCCTTAGTAAAGAGCTCGAAGGACCCACACGTAGTACTGTAGGAAGCCAGTGAGTCAGCCACAGCATTCCCTCTCTGTAATAGTGCCTGAACTGATGATACTCTGGAACAGCATTCCGAATTGCACGCACGACAGGGCAAATGGCCACTAGACCTCTCCCTTCCCCCGTAAACAACTGATCAAGACGAGGCAATCAGATTCAACAATTAAATGCAATATCCCTTTTTTGTCACCCTAACTGAAGACCCAAAAGTAGCGTGCGCGCCTCCGCTTGCAGGGGACTTACCGGACCAAAGAAATCAGCAAAAGCCAGAATGAGCCTTCTACAGGAATCTCTAATCACTCCACCACTACCCTCACCTCGAAGAGTAGAGCAACCATCCGAATTCAACTTAAAGAAACCGTCCAAAGGACACACCCATCGCACCAGAGTGGAAACTAAGGACCTCCGAAGTCCGGATAGCGAGTCCAGAATCTCTACCCATTGAAGTGGTACCCTTGTCATGGTCGGAAAGTACACTTGGATCAATAACCGCAGCTCATGAATGATCCATCCCCGAACCTGACCAACGGATATACTTCGTCCCTCAAATCGAGCCATGTTTCTAGCCCACCATAAAAACCAAACAATAAGCAACGGTAGCACAGGGGATAGCCACCGAAATGCCCTCCCTTTGACACTGAGCAACCACCATTTGTAGCATTGTGACCTAACACAAGCAACTGAAGGAGTTGCAATGCCTAGCGACTGCCAAAAAACCCCCAAACCTCAGTTGCTAACACTCCAGTAGCAAAAACATGCTACAACGTTTCCAACTGAGGCAACGAACAACATTGACACCTAGAGGGGCCATGAACTTGAAACTTTGCTAACACATCATCCACCGGCAGCTGCTCATGCAACAATCTCCACATAAGAAAGGAAAATTTCTGTGGAATTAAAGAATGCCAGATAGAAGCAAATGCCCACGACCGAACCCCAGAGGATCGAACTACTTGATATGCCGATTTTGTAGAAAACTCCCCCGAAGGTTGTAAGGTCCAAACTAGGCCATCGGGAACCTTACCAAAACAAAAGAAAGAATCAGCAGTCGACTCTGTAACCTCTGAAGGGAAGGCAGCCAAGGCCAAATGATCCCATTGGCCCTCATGCAAAAAATCATAAACCCAAGTGTTTGACGCTAAATCTGGAAACCTCCATGCCAACGGACCTAGCCCACTCCAATTATCCCACCAGAAGGCAACATCACCCCTAGACAAATCCCATTTTAGCCACATCTCCATGGAAAATTGAACCCCAAACATTCGTTTACCACTAGGGGAAAACTTAGGAGAAATAAAGACCTGATTTGGATGTAACTCACCAACATACCTAGCCCTTATGAACTGGGCCCAGAGCGAAAGTCCACATCTAAACAACCACCAAAACTTACAGGAAAAAACTTCAATAATGGCCTGTAATGAACGAAAACCTACTCCCCCCTCCTCCACGGGATGACATAATATCTTCCATGCTGACCAATGCCACTTAAACCCAAACTCTGATTCCCCCCAAAAAAATTGTGCTAACACCCATTCCAACTCAGCAATTACCCCCTTTGGAGGCACCAATACTGCCAGAATATGAATCGGGATTGAGGACAGCACATGCTTAATGAGTATAGCACGAGCACTCATTGACAGCCACCGGCCTCGCCAAGAATTCAAACGCTGTGAAACTTTATCCAATAAACCATTGAACAAGGATCTCACCCTTCTCCCAGCATACAAGGGGCAACCCAAGTAAGTGACTGGTAGCTCTTTAAAAGAAAACCCCGTGGTCCGTGCAATCACCCTACACCGTATAAGCGATACCATCCTGTCCACCAAAAAATAGCTCTTAGAAGCATTCACCAACTGTCCTGAGATCCTCTGATATTTGCCCAATACCTCCATAACACATGCTAACGAACGTTTACTACCATTACAAAAAATAATGATGTCATCAGTATAGGCAAGGTGTGTCAACGGAGGATATCCCCGGGCAACAAAGTACGGAGAAAATTGCCGGTCCCCCACCAAAGTATTCAAGCCCCTCGAAAGGACCTCAGCCGCAATGATGAATAGGGCCGGGGATAATGGGTCCCCTTGGTGCAACCCCCGAGATGATCTGAAAAAACCATAGGGTTTTCCGTTAAGCAGAACAGAGAAATGGCATGAGGAGATCAACAGCCAAATCATATCTATCCAGCGCTCCCCAAAACCAAATTTTCGCATAACTTGAATTAAAAAACACCAAGAGACCTGGTCATATGCTTTGACCATATCCAACTTCAGCGCAACATTTGATCCCCTAACCTTCTTCCCTAACGCCGAGCACATTTCCAGAGCCAGCAATATATTATCAGAGATCTGTCAACTCTTCATGAAACCACTCTGCTGAGGCGATATTAGCTTAGGTAGAATCCCCTCCAAACGTATTGCCAGCAATTTCGATATGATTTTATTAACAAAGTTACATAGACTGATTGGCCTAAACTCCGAAAACGAGGACGCACCTGATATTTTCGGAATTAAAGCCAGCAGAGTCGATGTGTATCCCCAAGGCAGCTGCGCACCAGCGAAGAAATCCCAAACCGCCCGACAGACATCACCTTTTACTATTTCCCAACAGGAAGTGAAGAAAGAACCCGTAAACCCATCTGGCCCTAAGGAACTCTCCCCATTCATCTGGAAAATCACTTTTTTAACCTCTTCCTCAGTAGGGACTTGTTGAAGAGCCTCATTCTCCTGCTCGGAGACAATTGAGGGGATAACATCTAACCATGACTGATCAACCTGTACTTGATCAGATTGCGCCAAAGCTTCAGCGAAGTACTCAACCACCATGTCTTCAATTTTAGGTAGCTCGTCAACCTAGACTCCATTCTTATCCTTCATTCGATGTATATAACAATGTGCCTGTCTTTGCTTGAATTGGCCATGCAAGAACCTAGTGTTGGCATCACCTTCCTTTAACCACTGAATACAAGCTTTCTGACGCCAATATCTGGCTTTCCTCAATAGAGCTGCCTTGAGGTCACATTGCGCCTTGAGAAGCCGGTGTTGCCCCTCTTCCGTCGGGCTTGCCTCCAAAGAACATTCCAACAACTGGACCTACTCTTCTCCTTCCCGGACACGATTAGTAACATTTCCAAATGTCTCCTTGTTCCATACCCGTAACGTATGTTTAACCGCCTTCAATTTCAAAATCAAAACCCTAACCGGTCGGCCCTGACACTCCACCTCCCAAGCTTGACGCACCACCTTAAGGAAATCACCGTAGGAGCTCCAAACATCCAAGAAACGGAAACTCCGAGGACCCCCGCTGACAGCCAGGGAACAAGTTACTAGCAGCGGAGAATGATCCGAAGTAACTCTACTCAAATGCACCACTGCAGTATTAACGCCTAGATCCAACCATAGCTGGTTCACCAGAACTCTATCTAGACGCTTCCAGATTCGAACCCTCCCCAGACGATTATTTCACCATGTGAATTTAGATCCAGAAAAACCCAAGTCCGTCAAGCCAACACCATCAGTAAAATTTTAAAAAGACTCTGCCTCAGAGAAACGAAACAGTCGACCTCCTTTTTTCTCTTCAGACCCAACAACGACGTTAAAATCACCCATGAAAATTGTTGGCTCTCTCAACGAATGCACCCTTGATAATTGCAGCCAGACCAACTCACGCTTATCTAGGTCACATGAAGCATGAACAAAGGTTGCAATAAAGGAACGGGGAAAAAAAGTATAGGCAATTTGCAACGCCAAAAATTGATGAGAAGCTGCAACAATATCACACTTATATTCAGCATCATAAAAAACCCAAATCCTACTTTCATCATTAGAGACACCAAACGGGAAACCCAACTTCCGACGAACAATATCCAGATGCTCACGACCCACCACTGGTTCACACAGGGCTAATAACGAGATTTGATGTAGACGTTTCAATTTTCTCAAGCGAGCTAAAGTAAGAGCATTGTCCACCCCTCTAGCGTTCCAGAAGAGAGACTTAATCATGACTCCGAGCAGTAAAATTTTTGGGGAGGTGCACCACTTCTCTTTGACCGGCGGTGAGTGACCTACTGCCATTCATCTGGGTTCCTCAGTCCATCCAAACGCCACCGCAAGTCATCCAGGGATGTGTCTGTCACCTCACCAGTCTTGCGAGGAGAAAGGTTGAGAGTGGATACCATCGAAGTTTGCTAGCTATCCACCTTTGCCTGCACCTGGTCCCGCAAGCATGTTTCTGGTTCCATACTATCAGTCGCTGGCTCGACACTACTTGCCAAGGCCATAGCAGTAGCTCGAACATCAGCATCAGTTTCACTGACAACCTGGTCTGCAATAGTATGAATCAGTTGGTCCGCCGCAGCCTCTACCGCCGCTTCCACCATTTCAGGAAGGGCTGGAGACACCCCATTCTGCGTCAAGGGCAGAACCAGGGGCGGTTGGTGCAGAAGATCATCCGTCACAAGTGTTGCATTAAAAGCGCCAGCCGCGAGGGCCTATCGCTCTTCATATTCTAGCTGCACCAACACACCAGGAGCAGTATGTTCCTACTTCTCATCCAGTGGAGGCGAGCTGTGAAGCCCCTCACTTTTTGGGTCCGCGTTGCCCAGAGTCACCAGAGGTACGGGACTCTCCACCTGCATTCCCCGATCCAACCGTACTTCCCCCAATCCAGACTTCTGCAGAGCGTCTACCTTCGATGGGCGGAGCTCAGGATACTTCACATGACATTGCTCTTCGCCATGGCCCTGGCGATAGCAATGTCCACAGTATTTGGGTATGTTTTCTGGTTTCAAGAACTGCCAGAAACCATCACCCATATCGACCCAAACCCTTGTCAGCAGCAGTTTCAACAAATCTACCTCGACACAGACGCGAGCAACATTCGGCCGAGAAAAAAAAGAGGTTGCGGAGTCAACAAATAGAGGGTTTCCCAGACAAGAAACAATATGGAACAAGCATTGCTTGTCAAATAAATGGACTGGTAATTTGGGTAAACTGAACCATACTGGAACCAACGATGATTCCCGATCAACATGGAATTTAGAGGTCCACTTAAATACTCTCATGGGGCAGCCATAAACATACCAAATATTCCTAGCCCAAACCCGCAGGAAATCTGTCTTGCTGTTAAACTTTAGCAAAACATGTCTGAAATCAAGCAGGCCCACTGCAATGGAATCCCTTAGATCAAGAGAGAGGAAGAACTTACGTAGATCTGGCAATGTCGGCCATCCTTTTGAAAATTTGCTAACCAGAGAGAAGCGAAATGAAGAGGCAATAGCGGATATATCCTCAACATTAAACACAATAGCTGGCTCCCCCCGATGCTTAGCCAAAGTAGCTTGAACCTGTCTTGTCTCCAGCGAAGAGGGCTTCGCAAACAACACCGAGAAGGATTTTTTCGTAAAGAAAGGGGAGGAAGAACCCATGTGACCCCCACCCAGTGGTGGAGGGGCAGCCATGGCTGCCATGAAAGGCAAAACAGACTCTAGAAAAACCTATCAAAAGCAAAAGCAAAAACAAAAGCAAAAGCAAAAGTTCGTCTTGACCATTGTTGAGTTCACGTTCTCATCAGATGACCATTTCTTTTAGACAGCTCACCACCTATTTCATCACCGTAGCCAAGCATGCCACCGCATCTCCACCGTCCGCGATTGCGCCTAGGTTTGGAACGAGTGACTTTTCCAGAAAATGTAGCGTGCCAAGCTTGTCTTCGTCGGATCCAGAATTTGGATTTGGAGAGAATGAATACTCTGGCAACAGGAGATTTGTTGAATTTTAGAGAAAATGAAACCTCTGGCAATAGCTGGTGATCTTGTGAGTATGAGAAAGTTCCTATCTGTTGTAGATGAGCACCGTACTCAGCTCTGTTTGAAGAAATTGATTGCAGAAGCTCCAGCAACCAGGACCAGCTTCGCCACTGTCTCTCTCTCTCTTGGTAGTTTTCACCTTTTTAAGTTTTTGAACTTAAAATTGAAATCCAATTAAATGATGGACTGAGTTTTTGGCTAAATTGGCCTGTTTGACAAATGAGTTTTTGCCCAAGTTTGTCTCCTACCAGTTTTTTAACAATTTTAATTTCAGTAATCTTAAAAAACTTCTCAAAATTTTTAACTTACACACTTCAAAATACCCAAAACACATAGAAAAATTTACCTTCCTCCTTTTTTCTTCCACCTCAACCTGCCACCACCTACGCTGGTGCTGGCACCACCTCTTTTTTTTTTCTTTCTCTTCTTCCTCTCCCTCTCCTCCTCCCTCTCCCCCTCCCCTCCCCTTCTTTTCCCCTCTTCTCTCCCCCCACACCTTTCTCTCCCCTCTCCCTCCTCCCAATTTAGTCTCACGACCAGATCGTAGCCAGGGGGAGGAAGAGGGTGGCCGAAGGGAAAGGGGAAGGGTAGGAAGAGGGGAAAGGGGAGAAGAAGGGGAGATGGAGAGGGAAAGGGAAAGGGAGAAGAGAGGGAGAGAAAAGGTAAAAAAAAAAATCCATGTTTGCTACTGGTTCTTTTAGCGTTGAAGAGAGAGGTGGCGAGGAGGGAGAGGGGGAGGGAGAAGGGAGAAGAAGAATAGAGGAAAGAAAAGAAAAAAAAAAGAAAAAAAAAGAAAGAAAGAAAAACATTTTCCATCTTAAAAATTTTTCCTACAACTTTTACAGTAAGTAACAGTAAAGTTTTAGACAAAAACTCAAAAAACTTATTTGCTAAACGGGCCCCTAAGATCAAATTGACTAAAACCTACCGCATTTAAGAGTTTTAAATGGGCCAAATTTAAGATAATAGAGAAGATTTTTCTTTGAGTCGAGCTTGATCTTATTTAAGTCCTCAATCATAAAGCTTATTGATAGGGTTTTGTATTTATATAGGATTTGGTTGAGAAAATAAGCTCAGTAAGGGTAATTTAGTTCAAGGGCAATATAGTCCTTTTATTATGATGTAGTACGGGCAAATTCGTCAAAAAATTTTAAATTAATTAATAGAGATAAATTAGTCAAAATTTTTAAAATAATGAATAGGGGTAAATTAGTCAAAAAATTTTAATATAATCAATAGGGGCCAATCAATCCATTTATTATTAAATTATTATGTGAGAGTATGGTTATATAATAGTCAATATGAATTTGTATCATTCACAAAAGGCAAAATAGTCCAAATATGGTTAGGTTGGTAGTAAGGGCAAACTAGTCGAACAACTTTAAAATTAACTAGTAGGGGCAAATCAATCCATTCATGTTATATTATTATGTGGGAGTAGGGTTATATAATTATGAGAGTATAAATTTGTATTATTTGTAAAGATAAATTAGTTTAAAATTTTATCATTCTATTTGTTAGCCATCGCGAGATGACTAATATCACCTCCCCATGAGATTATTTTATCCAATAAATAGGGGATTAATTTGGTTAGTTGGAATATGTCATCCCATATATAAAATGCAACCAAATATGAAATGATACAGGATAATTAATTCAATTTTGTGTTATCCATGAACCAAACCAACCCTTAGTCTCTCCAACCTGAGATTGAGAAGGTGCAAGCCCTCTTGAGCCAGCTAAAACTTCTTTCCTTTATAATGTATATCTTTCCTTTGTTTTTTGGACGTTTGGTGTATTGAACTTTTCTAATAAAAGATAGGCAGCAAAGTTTTCAACTAAATTTTAATGTTGCTTAATTTTATTTCAGTAAAATAAGAAACGTAATACTATGGGAGGATCCTCACCAGTGTGCTTAAGAAACATTACAATAATAAAAGAAATCTGAATATTTTATTTCCACCTATTTGTCAAATTTTTTGAATCACCTGTCTAAAATATGTTTTTCCCTCGCTGTTA